AACCGTGCTTTTTAATCACTGTAAACATCAGAGGTGAAGAATTTGGTGGAGAGAAAATTGGCTGCTTCTTTGTGTTTTTGATCAGACCGAGCTTTGATGCCTTCTCCTTCCCCGTTCCAGTGCCTGAGTTTCCAATGTGACACCAGCCATGGCCTCAGGCTCTGGGATCTGCACATGGAGTGCATTTCCCTGCCCACATCTCCATCCCCTGCGGGATGCAGCCCCAGGGGTGATGCCCTTCCCAGGGAAGAGGGAACTCCAACAATGAACTCCAACAGGACATGCCTGGAAACTCACACTTTGCTTTTTCAACTCCCCTCACCCATGAGTTTCTCTCTGCACTGCTGGAAAACCTCTGGAGTCAAGAAACCCGAGCATGGCTGAGAATTCATGAAAGATGTGCCAGCACCATGCAGCAGAGAGGGAGATCCAAGCTACCTCTGAATGTAGCAGGGGTACAGCAGGAGGCTTTCTGCCACAGGATGGAGCTCAGTGCAGGCTGCAAAGCATTTCTAGGAAGCTCCACAAGCACTCAGAGCATCTGAATCTCATTGCAGAGTTCTGCACTGCCAATTGTGCCTCCAGGCAGATAAGCTGCAAAGTGACTGGAAAGAAAAAATCGGGTAGGTGAAGGTCTTGATCATGTCTGAAAAAGTACAATACCCAAAAGAGTGATGGGGGGAGAAAAGAGCCAGCTTTTGTAAAAAGTGAGCATGGGAATGAACTCTGTGGCTTTGATTTTGTCCCACTTACTCTGTTCACCAGCTCTACAAAGTGCTTCTCACACAGAAGTGTATTTTTAACAACACAGAAAAGAATGTGCCAAAATTGGAAGCTCAAGCTACTTTTACCCTGGTAAATGGGAGGCAACTGCCATGTAAGAGGTTAAATGGCAAAGGAAGGATTTTTTTCTTTTTTTTTAAGACCAGGAATGACCAAATTAGTACTAATGGGGCTGATATTTCTGACTGTGAAATCTCACTGAATAGAAATGTTCAACAAGAGAAGTCCTCAGCATTCTCTTCTACCTGAGCATCATGCACAACCAGAAACTGCTTTACAAAAGGAGTTAAAAGTTTTCTGCAGTAAATGCAGAAAAAGTTGCACTTTTCTGCAACTCTGTGTAGCAAACACAGACACTTTCTGTGGCAGTTTCCCCACAAGGTTCAATCTATGGGGTAAAAAAGTCTTGATTTATTATATAGCATTTGGACAGTTGTGAAAGAAAATTTGCCAAAGATCAGAATAATCAACTCTTTCACCCAGGCAGTTTTTTAATGCAAGAAAAAAGCACAGAATGGGTCTGAGCAAAATAAATAAAAATTCCACACTTTTAACCAAGAGAACCTTTTGCGTCATTCAGGAACATTTACAGACATCCAGAATCTTTTATCATCAAAAAGACACTCTGGCCTTTCAAATTGCAACTTTTTCTTATATTTTTGTTTACTGATGGCCTTTAAACCAGTGGATATCTCTAACTTGTGGCATCTCTTCATGTCATGTCAAATGCAAGAACTTTTAAAGCTGTTCATTGGTATTTTTTCCTCTTCCCTTGAAACATCTCTCTTTTTCTAAGCTGTCATCTGTGAGTTTTAAAGATAGCAGAACCCCATCTACAGCAGCATCCGTCACATGAGTCATGGCAGCTATGCCTCAAAAATCAGTTTTTATCGATTGACTGGGCCTCTGGTGCCAATATGGAAATCTTCCAACCTGGAAAGGGCCAGCTGCTTTAATACAATTAAATACAGCCAGGAAGAGGGCTGCAAAAGGAAACATGCATTAGCCATTCATAGTATACAAGCCTCTCTCAGAGCCCAGTAAAGTGCAGCATCCCTGCTTCCCTTGCTTATTTAATTAGCACACAATGAAGGCCACTGAATTTCCCTGCAAAAGGTGTTGCGTACTTTGGACAAAAAAGAAAGGAGAAAAGAAGTTGCTTTTAAGTCCAGTCCAAAAAAATAGCTCCTTGGCTAAATGGCACATTTAATAAAGACGTTCCCAGTGTTTGTTTATTTATCAAAAAGCAGTGTTTCTCTCGGGTGTTTTGATTTTTATTTCTGTGCACAAGAAGGAGGGGGAAAAAAGGGCTTTACTAAGCAAGTCTTTCAGTGAGACACCAGATGATGGATAGTCAAACACAGAGTCTCCTGTAAACACAGAGGTAACCAAAAGGTATGAACTGACTCATAATTGTGTCAACACAGGTCGCAGACCCTTGGTTTATTTCAGCCTTCCTGTTTTTCACAGATTTCTGTTCACACTACACTATTTTTTTTAAGACACAGACTCTTTTCAGTACATCTTAGCGGGGTGCAAAAGCACACACGTTTTTACACCAAAATGTGGGCATCTACACACACATGTAGGCTGTACAATTTCAACAGCAGCATTTTCCACCTATTGCTTATGGCTACATTAAACTAAGCTGTGCAGTCCATGACTGCTCTAAATCAAAAAGTCCATCCCACTCCAGCCTCCAGCCTTTCCCTGGAGGCTCTTGGGAAGCATCCAGAAGAGAGGAACACAACAAAACCTCAACAGCCTAGTGCTCCAGCTCATCCAACCCTCCAAGACTCACTGTGGGTTTTTTTTTTAACCTAAGTGGCAAAACTCTGTCTGATGGAAAATGCTGGGAGGAGAACAGGCAGCAAAGAAGTCTGTGATGAGCAGAACCTGCCTGTATTTGTCCTGATCTCTAAACAAATTGAATTAAGCTGTAGGTTTTTCTTGTATAAAGTTTAGAACCATGGTTTGGGTTGGAAGGTTGGAAACACTATCTAGTTCCAATCCCCCTAAAAGACCTTCCAATAAAAGCCCCATCCAGCCTGGCCTTGGAGGAACAAGCCTTTCTGGGCTCTCTGTTTCTCAACTAGAAAGTTAAGAAATTGTTAGGGTAGGGGCTGATGTGCAGACACCCCAAGACATTGAATCCCCTGCAAGTCCCAGAGCAGCTGAAGGGCCAGGAAAGGTGTTTCAGTACATTCCCTGTACCTGTGCAAACACTAGTCTGAAATCCTGAGATCCTTTTAAAGGACTTGCAGAAAATAACAAATGAAGAAGCCAGGGAAATTGTTCTCCCTCAGCAGAAGCAGGAAAAGGAGCCATTGAAGGGCAGACTGCAGTGACCAGTACTTGTTCCTGAGCTCTAGGGAGCACAGAGCCCTGGGCAAGGGATCTGCAATGGATCCAGCCTGAGCACACACATGAAAAGGACTTAATGCTATAGACCCACCCACCTGAGATGTGTCAGACACCCTGTATGAGCCAGGAGAAGTTCAGACAACTGTTTATCGGGAATTTTTCAACTTCAGAGGTTCACTGAAAATGGCAGAGCCAGCAAGGACAGATAACATTCAGGTTGAGCAGTGCCTTATTCCTTGTGTAATCACATCCAGCTCAACTCAACAAAACCCAGAGTTACAGAGCCAGGAATTGGACCTTATTTCCCACTGTGCCAGTTTAGGTAATCACTGTAATGGCTGCAACCAAATTCACCCAGAGATCCCACACGGCTCTTCCCTGCCTACATCACCAAATCATTCACCAAAAAAATGCAAAACAAATTACACTAGGGTGAAGCTGACACACACAGAAAATGCCAGAAATAGCATTTCAGAAACAGAAATAATTGGCAGACTTATTTTTTAAAAGACTACTCATTTTGGGATAGCACAGCTTTGCAAAGAGAGACCATTTTATCTGGAGCCATTTTCCCCTTTGGAAACCAAGGCTGGCACAACAATGGGGAGAATTCCCTTTGCAAATTACAATATACTAAGTCAGATTTGCTTCCAGCAGGTTCTGTACCTTCAGTAATTGGTCAGGCTTTGTATGTTTGTCAACTGGGGAAAACCTACACTCTATTCTCCTGCTTCCCCTCTTTTCTTTACCTCTTTTTAGCTAGAACAGAAGGTGAAGGAAGAAAATTTTACTGAAGGATACCGTGAAAAGAGTTTTCAAAACATTCCACACATTTTCTCTGCATAAACATGCTGTGGATTTCTAATGTAAATAGTGCCAGGGCACTGTCACTCAAACCCCAGGAGTTCATCCGAGTCAGACAAATTATGCTGCCCGTTATCTCAGTTGTTACAGATTCTTGCCTTTCATTCATTTCTTGCCAGTGGCTGGATTTTATGTGTAGGGGAGAAAAGAAGCCTCAAATGATGAAGTTAACCTCTTGTGGTGAGACCAGTAATCCTGGGCTTTCCAGGGGAGAATGCAGAAGGAGATAGCTACTAGCCTTGTCTGCCAAGGCAGCAGTCAAAAGAATGCTGAAATTTGGCATGTATGAGCAGGAGAAATGCAGTGCTATGAAAATGGACACTGCAAGCTCCCTGCCAAATCTGCAGCATTTGGCCCACATGAATAAAACAAATTAAGTTAAAAGAAGTTTTTTACATGTCCTGTAAAAAACCTCCATAAAGCTGCGTTGTGGCTGTGAATAGGAGATGGTGCTGCAGAGCAAACCTGCCTGGCAGGAGCAGTGACTGCTGCTTCAAACATCACATCCACACTATAATTAATACTAACTTCAACTACAATCAGAAGGCTCATTTCCTCCCAGATAAGGAGATACTTACTAGAAGGGGATGCAGGATGTGATGAGGGGATTCCTTTCTGAATGTGTTTTTACAGCCACACTGCTAGGGACAGAGTGAAAGCCCCTGTCCCACATGCCAGGTATTGTCCAGCTGTGAAACCCCTTTGGGTCCTGGAACCTGTGTATGGAAAACAAAGGGCCTGGATGCTGCCAGCCCCATGTCCTGCCCTGCAAGTGCAGCATTCCAGTCTCTCCTGCCTGGTCCATAACCCCTTTTAGGAACAGAAAATGCTGAGTTTGCATGGCAGCACCATGAGAGGAAGGTGCATTGCATGCCCACCTGTGAACTGATTCCCTGTAATGATGAGTGCCTTTAATGCCATTCTAATGAGCCAGTTCTGATAGAATGTTCTCTTTATGCTGTACTTCCAAAGAAGGGAAAACCTCTTACCTATTGTTCTTCGGAGATCTTCACACTGGCTTATGTGAGGGAATTTCAGGATTTCCTTCCACTTTTTGCTTTTGCCTTTGCGTTTCCCTCCACCCCCTGCAGAGAGAGAAATACCAGGATTAGATTGCTTTGTGGACACAGTTCCACCTAGAGTTGACCTGCCTATCCATAATTCTTATGGATGCCATTAATAATTAAAGCTGAGACACTGTGGGTTGATGTACAAGCAAATCTCTGGAAGTATTCAAAGAAAGGCTGAATGGGGTTTTGAGCAATCTGGTCTACCAAAAGATATCCCTGCCCATGGCAGGGGGTTGCAACTAGATGACCTTCAAGGTTCCTTCTAAGCCAAACATCCTATGATTCTATGATACAGATCAAATCTCAACTTATTTGAACTTAAAACAGGCCAAGGAGGTGGCATCTGGCAGAAGATCAGCTCACCAACAGTTGGGAGTCCAGGCTTGCTGCCCACCAGGTCCAGCTGAGATGACAGAGCTACCTCCAGCATCACCTCTTCCCCAACCAAGAGCCACCTCACACAAGTCAAACAACCTTGTAAAATTACAGTTCAATTGAAATTACGTTTTCAATGCAGATGTCCCCCTTCTGGTTTTGGGACAGGCCCTGATTCCATCCCCAAAAAGTGTTGAAGATCCAAATTCACTTCCCCCCATCCCCTCAGACCCTCACATTACATATCCTGGCAACGTGGCACTACTGCTGCTGTCACATACTCTGGTAACTGCTGCTTCCACAGAAGAACTGATGAAGAAAAATAATAGCTTCATGAGGAAAAAAATCACTTATTGGTTCTTCTTTCTGTTCTGCCTGGAGAGGCTGTGCAGCCAAGGAGGAGGAGTATCCCTCTGGACATGAGAGCCCAGATGCAGACTGGGAATCTCCAAGCCCCTGTATTTACTGCAATCCAGTCCCTGCACACAAAACCTGATTCACTTGAGTCTATTTTATATGCACTGGCATACTGAATGACTAATTTAGAGCTGAGTTAATTCTGTAGAGGGGTTGGTAGAGTCACAATTGCAGATTGAGAGTGTCTTGGGTCCTGCATGACATTACAGGCTAAATTAGGAGAGCACTGACTCAAAAGGTAGCAGACCACCAGAGAGAAAACAGGAGCCTTGGAAAAAAAATTACAAGTATTGCTCTCTGTGGGGCATTTCTGATCGCACAGTGTCACCTTGGCACTGGAGAGCTTCTTTTGAATCTCACCTTTTATTCCTTTGCTTTTGATGGCCAATGGTTTTGCCATCACAGAGTCTGCCTTGAATTATTTAAAACTTGTTATTGATAGGAACTTATTGTGTTTCTACAGTATGCAATGTAGAGCTGAGATACCTGCACTGGCCATGCAGGAACCAGCTTGTTTGGACTTTCAGGAGCACATCCCTGCTATCCTTTCCAGGAATCAGAGTGCAGCAAAGCACAGAGAGCTGTGGCTGCCTCCCCACCACACAGTACTCTGCAACACAGACATACCCCTTGGGTCTGTAATGAATTCTGCTTCAACCCCACTCTTCAGTGCATCCCAGACACTGCTGCTGAAGTCATTTCCTTCCCCATCCCTCTACCCACAGCATCAGAGAGCTTGTCTTGCTCTCTTGGTCTTGCATGCTGAGGGCCTTAGGTGAACTACAAAGTGCTGTTAAACATTTTGTGGGCTGGGGTGAGCGCTGTGATCATCTGTTCACCAACTTCTGGAGCACATCTGCTCCCAGATAGCCCTGCTCTGGCTGCCAGTGGCCACAAGGGGTTGGATTCAGCAACCCTGAGGGTCTTCATTGGTTTTCATGTCCCCAGAAGCCCACTCCTGCAGTCCTGGACAGCAGCTCCTGCCTGCCCGGCTGCCACCTCCACTTGCTCCTTTTTCCTTCTCTTCCAGGGGCATTTTCCTCTGTGCTCCTGCCCCTTATGCCTCATCACACTGTACTTACACTTCCTTCCCTGCACCCTCCCTTCATATACTCCTCTGGGAAAATGATCCTTCACCAGGAATTCCTGCTTCTTTCTCTCTTCCAGTCATCCTCTATGGCTGCATTTTCTTCTCTGAACCATTGCTCCCTGAACTTTTCTTCTCTGTGTGTTTTTCCTCATACTCATTTATCTTAGAACCACAGAATCCTACAACATATCAAGTTGGAAAGGACCCATCAAGATCATTGAGTCCAACTCCTGGCCCTGCACAGGACACCTCAGGAAACACACCTGTGCCTGAGAGTGCTGTCCAAATGGTTTTTGGACTCAGACAGATTTGGTGCTGTGACTCCTTCCCTGGGGAGCCTGTTCCAGGCTAAGCCACCCTCTGTGTGAAAAACCTTTTCCTGATGCCAAACCTAAACCTCATTTCCACTCATTTCTGGCTGCTGCCACTGCAGCACCTCTGCCCTTACCAAGGGTCAGACAAAGATGCTGCTTGGGGAAAGCAGGAGGATGCTCAAGGGATGTGCAGCTGCCTGGGCATCTTTTAGGCTGGTGCATCTTCACCCCCTGAAGGTCTACCCTGCAGGCACAAGCACTGGAGATTCCAGAGCACACCTGCTTCTCCAGCCACCTTTACAGAAGTCCTCCCAAAAAGGCTCCATCTTTAGCAGCACCAAGCAGCACAGAATATTGCAGAATAGCCCTTTGCGCTAAATGACAGCTCTGAGATTTGTGCAGAGGTGATATGATTCTGCTAAGCTGGGCCAGAACATCTTTAAAATCCATTCAATGTAAAATATGTATTGATGTATTTACATTGGATGATGTATTCGTGACATTAAATTTCCATCAAAACTAAGGAAGGGCTCTGTGGTCCCCGGTTAAAACCGTGATCGATACAGCCAGCATGTTCCCTTCTCTTTTGTGGCTATCCTCCAAAAATAAGCAGCCTTGCCTGATGAATCATTTGCTCTTAGCTGAGCGTGAAGCAGCGTTCCTGCTTGTGACGTCTTTATGTTAAAGATTCTGATCAAGTGCTTTAATCGACCTGACCTTTCCGCTCCCAGCTTTTCTTGAGGAGCCAGCAGTGTTTGCTGGCTCCAAACGTTAATTCTGGGGGGGTTTGAAGGACATAATGCAGTGAGACAGCTGAGACACAGTAAATTGTCTAGCAGAGCTAAAAGCTAAAAGGGGAGGTTTCTCTGAATAGGTCATGGTGCAGGTTGCAGAGGGAAGCTTTTCACACGTTGCCTTGATTGCTGCCTTTGCACCCTCTATTCCACACAGGAGGATTTGCGTTCTTCAAGGCACTTCTCAGGGCAGGACTTGACAGATGTGCCATGTTTTAAATGTAAGTTCCATCATGCAGTGTTGGAGGGTCTGACTGCTTTAAAAATTTTGCTTTGCTGATGACAACAAAAGGTGAGCTGCCAGCAACAGCACGAAAGCTCAGCCCCGCTTCCTTGCCTGCACTCAACAACTCAGCATTTGCAAACTGAGGGTTGAAGCTAATTCTCTAACATGTCAACCAGTCCTGCAGGAAACAAAAGCATTTGCTCTACATCTTACCTACTGAAAAATACATGGCATTTTTCACATCATCTTGTGATGCTGCATGGCAAATCTAGCTCTGATCTCTGCCTGTGAGGAGAGACATAACCAGAGGCACACATGTAAAACATCTGCCATCAGGAGTTACCCTTAGCCTAAAGTGCCTACCTTTTTTTTCCCCTCCATTATTCAGTATATACTTATTCTCCTAACACCAAGAGGCGACAGGAAAACACCTGTATATTATTAAGCCAGTGAGCTATTAAGTGGCTTGTCCAAAATGAAACTAAATGAGAAATCATAGCTGAAGAAGCCAAGGCTTTGCAGCTCTTAATTCTGCTAAAGACAGCATCAAGCCATGCTCCTGCTCAGGTGATTGAAGATTATTTACAACACAGAGTATTGTTGGATGAATTTATTCCAGCATCAAGCCTGTAGCATATTCCATTTGTGCCTCATGAACCAGGCAAGGTGGATTTTAAGGATGGATAATCTGGCTTCCTACTGCTGCTCTGTTATTGCCCAAGTTGATAAGACAGCAGCACATCCCATGCTGCCAGACCTGGCTAATCCAAATATTTCAAATATTTCATGCAACTGTATCAACTGCAATCTAGCTAATCCCCAGATCACTGGAGGATGACTACAGCTTCTATCTTCCACTTCACAACAGTACCGGGGTTGTCACCCAAAGCCTTCCCAACAACATGAGAGAGGTCTGTATCCTCAGAATGCAAGGCCCTGATTACACAGTGAATGCAGTGAAACAAACTCCAAAAATACTAAAAGTCAGAGAAATCATGGTTAGTGTCCTATTTCCACTCACAAGGTGTTTACATTTCTTCTCTTCCTCCTCTTGCCACCCTTTCTCTCCTCTGTCCCATGGAAGTGTTTGAAGCTAAGTGTTACATATGGAATTGCCATATGAGAGTAGGGTCTGGCCACTACAGGATGAACTGCAGGCAGCTTCAGAGGAAGATCTTGAAAAGCTGTTTCTGAAGTATCTGAAAAACATTAAATTTGCCCCATATTCTGTTAACTAGATATGGCTAACAAAACATGAAGGTGTATGGCTTCCAAACAATTTCTTCTCCTTTTTTGGCATCTGTGCTACTTAGAATCAGGCTGTTCTTATGACCCTGGTAAACACCCTGCACTGTTGAATGCGCCCATGTCTCATGTGGGTGTGAATACCAAAGATTAACTGTGTATTTGTGAAGGAAAAGAATAATAATTTTAATCTTGTTTTCCTAGAGTGCCTTGTCCTAATGAGTCAGCACTAATAAAACTTACCAGCCCATCATTTTCCCCTAGAAATTTTTCATGTCTAATACATTCAGCCTCTAAGGCAAACAGTTTCACCCTTATTAGACCTGTTTCATGTGGAAGTTCTCCCAGGTTCACTACTCTTCTTTCCTATTAGTTCCACCTACACTCAGCTGTACTAGCAAATAAAACTGTCTTGTTTTTAAAGAAAGAAAGGCTGTTTGCTCTCTGCCCTTCATCATGCCTCTCTCCTCTGGGAAAGCATTAAAAAAACCCCAGGAACCCTGTTTTATTCTGAAAAGATCTCGGATGATACTCCTGATTTAACTTGTGCTCAA